TTTGGTGAGTATTAAGCCCGCAATTTAAACATTAACATTTCCAATATGGTGGACGGGTATAGAACCCTCTTAATATGTATAATATACGGTAAAATGACTGGCATACATAATTTAAGCATATTCAGAGAGATGTTATCTACTCCACTGGCATTCAATTTAACTTCAACAAATGTTTTCAGAACAGCATCCACGTCTACAAGATTAAATGTAAAATTATTGTTATTAATATATTTATGAGTACGGTAATAAGCCGTTTTTTCACTACACTGGACATTGCTGTTTTGGTAAACCGCTACAAACGCTTCAGTTATCTTGAAGGGGACCAATAACTCGTGAGGTGTCATTGTTTTTTGAAACTCGCATATTCATTGTTTTTAACGTAAATATGCAGCTTTTTAATTTTTTGTAGACGCAACAGCAAAATTTCTAAGGCGTTTGTAATGATCCCATGCTTCAGGCGTTTGAACACGCTTAAAGTTAACCAGAGCTCTGTTACGTTTTTTGTTAATATTTTTTTGATTTTCCGTTAACCAAGGAGCTCAAGGTTTGCTAACTCTAACAGTCCTGTAAAGACAGTGAATATCAAATAGCTGGGTAATAGTGTTAGAAAGAAATCGAACTTTACTTTCTATATCTCTTATAGAGATTAGGTCATGCTAAGGAAAATTAGATAGGTCATTGTTAAAACAGTCAAAATTGATTTTTTAAAGTTTCTAGAAGTGACAAATTTTTGTTCATTACCAGTAAAATCAAATTTTATAACGCAGTAAGCAAAGCGGTGATCAGAAAATAAGTCAGCATTTAAAGTTCCCTAGCTAAACAAAGTTTTGAATTATCATCGTAAATGGATATATAAGGGTTGCCGAAGTTGCTGTAATTCGTATAGGTTCAGCTATTACTTGTGTCAATCCGTATGCTTCAAAACAATGGTTAACATTGGTATTTATGTTAGTTATTTCTACGAAGATATTTTTAAACTGAGGGACTATTAAAGTCAACATATCATCTAGTAAGTTAATAAAAAAAGGGAAAAGAACCCTTATGAGGTCTGTAATGAATGCCTACTGACACACATTTGGTTTTTTTTTTCAGCTTAACCCATAAACATTCCAAGTTAGAAGATTCTCCAGATGTTATAACTTGACAATGATATTAACATTTAACAAAAATTCCCACGATTGTTGCGCTCATGTCTAAAGAAATTATATCCATCAATGTGTATAAAATTAGATAGTATATCGGCTTTAAGCCATGTCTCAGATACAGCGACAATATCAAAATCGTTATCACATACGAGAGTACAGAAATCATTAAAACCAGCTAAGATTGACCGGACATTTATGTGTCCCATTTTTAGAGTGGATTTATTATTTTTACAATATTTAGTCGTATTTAACATTTTTTTTTCTCTCCTGGGCTCGTCTGACTATGTGTCTCCGAATAACACTGAAGCCTATTGGCTTATTGTGTTTTACCCCATGTTAGTTCATAGCACCCACTCTATCACCTTTGTACCTTGTACAAGTTTGTACAGATCCTTGGGTAAGTGGGTTCTATACGTTGTTGGATCAACCTGGGGTTGTCCAATAAGAGCCTGTCTTTTGCGATATAAAGCTTCGCATTCGCACAGTATGTGTTTGGCTGATTCTGGTTTCTTGTGACATAGTCGGCACATTAGTTCCCCATTGTACATGCCAATTTTGTTCAAGTGTCCCTTTACTGGGGCGTACCCAGTCATGAACCCTGTTATCACTTTCAACTGGTTCCTATTCATTAAGAGTAGTTCTCCAGTTCTTTTGGGACATGGTCTGTCTATGAAGGCTTTTCCATGTGCCTGTTTTGGGGTGCTTCCCCAATAGTTGATATGTTGTTCCCGAATCCAGCATTTATAAAACTCCGGACTGTACTTTTTGGTACTCCTGGGTTTGTGTCTGGTTCCGGTGTTTCTTCTGACCCTCTTTTTGCAAGTTCGTCAGCCTTTTCTTTGCCTTCGATCCCTTTGTGACCTGGCACCCAAAATAGTTTTACTCTATTTCGGTCTGCCAGTGTTCTTAGTTCTTCGATGCATTCCCATACCAGCCTCGACGTAACTTTCTGACTCGATATGGCCTTAAGTGCCGCTTGGCTGTCTGACATTATTTGAATATGCTGATTTTCGACAGCTCTTTCATTGTTCGTTTTTGCACATTGCAAAATTGCGTATACCTTGGCCTGAAATACCGAGGAATGTATTCCTATAGCATAGCTATGGTTAGTATCAGGGTTTTTGGAGAATACTCCTGCCCCAGTGCCTTCCGCAGTCTTAGACCCGTCTGTATACCAGATTTGTTCCTGTCGTTAGGCATTGGGCTCCCTTATGGTAATCTCCGTTCTTTCCTGTATTAAAACCTCAAAGGGAGTATTAAAAGAGTACCTCTTGGTTAAGTGGTCTGATCTCATATCTAGCACGTCTCCTGTCACTAACCTTGAGATACTCATGTGACCTGGCCTAATGTCAAGATTTCTCAGTGTATTCTCTAATCTGTAAGCACCTAATCTTGTCTCCCCTTGTATCACATAGTGAAGAGGTGGGAGTCCTATTAATGCTTCTATTGCAGCACTGGGGGGTTATTCCGAGGCAGGCAAGTCTTTGTACCTTGCTAAGCCTCGTTATTGCTTTCCTTTGCTGTGTCTTTGGCCACCACACCAAAGCTGCGTATGTTATTATGGGTCTCACCACCATGTTATAAATCCAATATACCATGTCTGGTTTTAACCCCCATTTTTTTCCAAAGGATGGCCTTGCCATCATTAATGAGGTTTCCGCTCTCCTTGTGGTTCTTTCTAGATGGTGGTTCTAGGTAAGTCTCGTGTCAATCATAACCCTAAGATATTTTACCTCCCCCTTAAGCTGGATGCTTGCACCTCTTAGGTTTAGAGGCCCTAGTCCCTCCAATTTGCTCCTGCAGGTAAATGCAATTATGTCAGATTTGTTTGGGCTAATGTTTAGTCCTTCCGCCTCTGTCCATTTTGTTACTATATTTAGAGCCTCTTGCATTCGATCTCTTACTGTAGTGTTGTATTTTCCCAGTGCCATGATCACTAGATCATCGGCATATCCCAGGGTTCTATGTCCCTTATCTTTGAGAGCCCTAAGCAGCCCGTCCACTACAAGGTTCCACAGGAGTAAAGACAACACTCCACCCTGTGGACATCCTCTCGCTACCCGTGCCGCTGTTGTCTCTCCCAAAAGGGTTGTGTGTATAGTTCTCTCCCTTAACATAGAGTCGATCCAGGACACGCATGTGTCCTCGATTCCTCTGTTTAAGAGATCTAATGATCGATTCAACGGAGGTATTGTCAAATGCACCCTCGATATCCAAGAATACTCCCAGCATTACCTCCTTGTTTTCCAGTGTATTCTCCACCCTTTTTATTAGTTGATGGGGAGCTGTTTCAGTTGATTTCCCTGCACTATAGGCGTATTGGTCTTGGTATATTGGCCTTTGAACCAATATTCCGTCTCTAATATGCCTATCTAGCAGTTTTTCTAAAGTCTTAAGTATGAAGGACATAAGACTTATTGGTATTAGGGACTTTGCCGTTTCCTGTCCCATTTTCCCAGGTTTTGGTATAAAAGTTACCCTAATATTTCTCCAAGCTTTTGGTATGTGTCCAAAGGCCAGGCTACTTCTGAGTATGTTACAGAGTCTGCTGTATAAAATATCAGGACCTCTTTGTAACATTATTGGATAAAGCCTGTCCATGCCCGGTGATTTATATGGTTCGAATGAGCTAATTGCCCATTTCAGTTTATCATAGTTCACCACTTGTTTGGCTATCCTCCAATCTTCCCTGTTGGCTCTATTATGAGCTTCCAGTCCGTTTAGATTCCGGTTAGCCGGTGTGTGTGCTATGATTTATGCACCAGAGAAGTGAACCCTGAAGAGTTCCCTTACTGCTTCCTTCCCTGTGATTGTGTACTCCCCAAGTTCATTCTTAAGGGTGTTTATTGTGTGTTGTGTGTCTTTTGAGAGAATTTTTTGGAGCCTGGCACATTCTTGAGTGCATGCTATCTCCTCACAGTGCCTTCTCCAAGACTCTCTCTTGACTTTTCGTAAAGCTATGTTGTAACAGTTGCGTATGGTTCTATATAGTTCCCATTCGCCGGTTATTTTAACCTTATTAAATTTTTGTCTCACCTGTTTCCTTAGTATAGCCAGGTCATCATTCCACCATGGAACTTTCCTGGTAGAGTTCCTTGCTATTAAGGGACAGGTATTGTTGAAAGAGCTAGTGACTGTCGTATTTAACATTACTTTTTAAATTATTTAAATATTTATTTAATACTTGACATTTATTTATATCTTTTGCAGTATGGTTACAATCGTAGCTGGTTTTGTATGCGTTGTTATGAGATACACAGTTAATACATTTCTTACTATTCGATATATAATTTTTAATAGAATGCTCTTCAGTACAAATGGGACAAATTATTTTAGTAGAGGTACAATTATTTTGAATATGTCCAATACCCGAACATTTGTAGCACCTTTTTATTCGAAAATAATCGTCAACACGACAACATTTTCATCCTATATACACAAATGTTTTATTTAAAAGATATTTTCTTAATTGGGGGGAAATGTCTACAATTAATTCACAGGATTTTATTTGAAAATATTTTAAAATCGTCACTATTTTAAGATCCGAAGCTGTGAATGTATCCTTTTCATTTAGGGAGAAAATAATATCAGCAATTTCTTCATGAGAAAATTTTTCGTCTACGTCCACGTTTTTAATAATAAGGCGTGGATTAAATTTCGTAGGGACACTAGCAGCATATTTGGCACCGAATTCTTTATTAATTGACACTTTTAATTTTTCCAGGGACGATTCATTATTACAATTAATCACTAAACCATTTTTCGTTTTCTTCGTATTATTTATGCATACATTTAAATTAACATGGTTAATATGTTTTTGAATATCTTCTAATATATTATTAGTTTTGAAGTTCCCTTTATTAGTACTTTTTATTATCAGACTAGAACAAGATAATTGAGTATTAGTCACTGGTTGTTTTGCAACATCGCTGTAAAAAGCAGAACTGTTCGTACTTGGAGCAAAAAAGTTCGACATGGGTGTGGTATGTTTTTCGGATGAGTTGATTTTATCTTTTAGTAGATTATTATGTATTTAATTTTAGTTCATCAATAAGATCATTTAAGTGTTTATTTTCTCGTTTTATATATTCAAGAAAAATTACTTTTTGTATAAGGTCAGGCAAATTGTCCGATTCAGAATGACCATCATTATTAAGTAGACATGACTTACATTTCCACTTCCATCTATCTGCTAAAAACACCTTTGCAACTGTTTCAAAACACTTGGTATAAATTACAACATCACACTTATCATTTGCACACTTTACACCACTTTTTTTTATGCTGGATGAACAAATAGCACACAATTTATCAGAGCGATCCAACAACAGGTCTGTATCGCCTGCCATCACTACTACGGCCATGTAAGAATCAAATTACTTAACACAGAAGAGCATGGGTATAAATCGGTCATGTAAGTGTTTAGTTAACATAAGGAGATAATATATTCGAATACGATTTTGTCATTAAAATAAAAATAGAATTAAAAAAAATTGGAAGGCAAATAATGTTCAACATCTTTCGAATCTAATAAATTTGTGTAAAAAAGAAAGCAAAAGTAAACTATGAATAATGTATTTATCAGGTGTTTTACTTTCCAAAAAGCAAAAATGTAGTTTATAACTCAAACCAAAATTGGATAAGATCCGTGGTAGGCAACACCACATTGGTTGTTGGCGTCTCTAGCTAATCTGAAGTAACCATCCTCACCCCAGCTAGTTCCCCAGCTGTTTTTTAAGATCCAGAATTTCTTGCCGTTCTCTGTTCCATAGCCTACAACCAAGATACCGTGGTCATGATCACCGGATTGGACTATGCACTCATCACTCTCAAAGATACCATCCTTGTAATGTTGCATGGGTTCAGCCAATATAATTACGGAGACTGGTCCAACGGTACCTGAAAGATACATACATATAAGAAACTGACATAATTTTTTTACATACATTGGAAGATGTTAAAAATTCTTATAGGAAAAAATTCCAACAACAAAATAAATTGTTCATAGTTCCTTAAAGAACTTTACCAAGGAGGAAGAAAACAACACAGCTTCGATAGTATTTTGATCTGTGCATTCTTTAAAAAATCAATATTTGCTTTGTAACACATCTCTGTATATGATAATGGAAATATGATTTAATTCTGGGAATTAAATATTTTATTGTTCATTATTAAATAACTTATTTTTTAATTGGCATAATATAGTTTTCAATTCAGCCAATAAAACTCTTCTCTTTGTATATGTTCTAAAATTAACAAGTATTGTAATGATTTAGATCTTTTTTGTTTATCCTGATATAGGTACAAGAAATGAGTAACAGTAGTTTGTGCAACAAGAGTGCATATTATGACGGTCATATCCAATTAAAAACATGGGAAAAAAAGAATTGTTATTTTTAAAGAAAGAATTTAAAAATCAGCTTTAATTTATATAGAGCACAAAAATATATATTTTTAAAAATAAAACACGTAGTTACGATTAAAGTAAATACTGATTTTCTCTAAAAATAACAAATGTATAAATTATTGCTGTTTTTGCATTAAATACAAAATCCAAACAGTTTGTTTAGTTGCGAGGCAGAGTACCTAATTACTTTTCAACAACAGGTAAGATTCCAATTGTGTCGGACATTATAAACATTTCAATAAATTTGAAGTTACCCATCTGCTATCCCAGTATGTTATTTAGTATTTTAAGTCTTGCAAATCCAAGGGTGCGCGGTTCGAACCCCACCGTTGGCAGGGATTTTTTAAATTTATTTATTTAAAAATTATTCTGAAGCATATGTAGGATTCTCCACTCCAACCATTCTAATTCTAAGTTCTAATTGCCAGTGCTGATCCTAAAATGGCACTGGAAAACAGTGACAAGGCCTTTCTGTAGGCGTGTATTAAATAAAGTACTGGCACTGCTGCAATATGGAGTATTAGACTACTAGTTCTCAAAGTTAGTGGTCAAAGCTATAGACACCAATAAATATTGGTTGGCAATATTAAATGAAATTAATTATCGGCAAATATTTTTCAATTCCCTTATGTCTCAACTTTGGGTGTTACAATTTCGCTCGTATCTGCATACAACCGTTATAATTGAGAATAAAGACAAATTAAGTTTTGTCTCGTAAGCGGTTTAGTAGTATACAGATCGTTGAGATCAATGAGATTTTCATATAAAATTGGTATTGGTGTATACTCTGTATAATCTCATACTAGTTGGTATAATATGAAATATATATATAAAATAAAGTACAGCGTATTCTATTAAAAAACCTAACTTTTTTAAGTTTCACTTTTTTGGAGAACCCTGTATGATTAAAAATATTTTTAAATTGTTGTCTTTTCGAACATATATCTCGTTGTGGAAACAACTTTTCAAATTTTAACGAAATCCTATAGTTTTGGCTCTACAGACCGAGGCGTTACTGGTGGCCCACCTTGTGAGTGTTTGGTATAAAGTTACACCCCTTCGAAAATTAAAAAAAAAATGGTTTTTCTTTTTTATTTTCCCTGTATATCAAGCTACAGACACGAAACTTGGTAAACATTATCGGTCAATAAAAGTACACTTTCTGAAATTTTTTCAACCCTGAAGTATGCTTAGAAGGGGTTGAAATAATCAACCCCTAAGATATTTTTTCTTACAACTTTTTTTTAGATGAAAATTTTTTCTTTAAAAAAGTATGACTGAAAAGCCCAATTCATTGACTAACTTTTTTATTTCTACAAGTTTTTTTCGAAAACTTAAGCATTTATGAGAAAAAAATAAATAAACTCATGTAAAATAGCATTTTATTAAACAACAGCCAACCAAATTATGATTCTTAAGACTTCTACAACTAAAAACAAAAGTGAACAAACAATGAACAAAAACCTGTCGAATATCGACAATACAATTATAATAAATGTTGAAAATGACCGCCTTCAGCTTCAATACAAGCATCTACCCTTTTCCTCATAGAATTGCGTATACGATGAAATATTCCTGGAGAATTTCTTATAGTTTCACACCCTGCTACAATGCGGTTTCGCAGATCATCGATATTTTCAACTGGGTTTGTGTATATCAAAGATTTCAGATATCCCCATATGCAAAAATCCAAAGGATTAAGGTCAGTGGAGCGGGCTGGCCAGTTTACAGGTCCTCCTCGACCTATCCATTGATTGGCATACACCTCATCCAGGTGAGTTCTTGCACGTATACTAAAATGAGCTGGGGCACCATCGTGCATAAACCATAAATGTTGCCTAATTTGAATGGGAACCTCTTCAAGAAGAACAGGTAATTCTTCAAGGAGATGACAATATGCTTCACCATTTAATCGTAGCGGAAGAAAATGGGGACCAATTAAATGATTATCAATAATTCCGAGCCACTCGTTTAATGAAAATTGATACTGATGATTCCCTTCAAAAAAGCCATGAGGATTTTCGTCAGCCCAAAGGTGATTGTTGTGAAAATGTCTAATACAGTCTCTTGAGCAACTCGCCTCGTCAGTAAATAAAATATTACCTAAGAACTGTGGTGCTTGGCCAATCATATTAATAAGCCACTGACAAAAAATCACACGGGGTAAAAAATCTGGAATCATTAACGCCTGCACCCGTTGAAGATGATAGGGATACAACATTTGTCTCTAGTACGACCAGAATCATAACTTGTTTTTTCAAAATTACCACGTTCCCGCAAGCGTCGGTGAATAGTAGTATGATGGGGTAGTCTACGCTGTGGGTACCGTTCAGCATAAAGTCTTTGCGCTTCCAATGAATTACCGTTAGCACGACCGTATGTAAAATGCATATCTGCCATTTCCAAATTCGAATATGCATTCATATTTTCAATCAACTGGTATTTCATACAATACACAATCATAATAGTTGTGAAACAATAAGATGGGTAACAGAAAATGACACTACACAATCCTGGTATCAGTATTAATGTTTTTATGCAAAGCACAGGCCACTAGACTTGACGCAAAATACACTAGCTCATCTTTTTGAAAATGCATTGCATTAGATTTTTTTTCTCGTAGAGTTAAAAAAGTTAGTCAATTGTGCTTTTCAGTCATACTTTTTTAAAGAAAAAATTTTCATCTAAAAAAAAGTTGTAAGAAAAAATATCTTAGGGGTTGATTATTTGAACCCCTTCTAAGCATACTTCAGGGTTGAAAAAATTTCAAAAAGTGTACTTTTATTGGCAGATCATGTTTACCAAGTTTCGTGTCTTTAGCTTGATATACAGGGAAAATAAAAAAGAAAAACCATTATTTTTTTTAATTTTCGAAGGGGTGTAACTTTTCCGGGGAGGGTTTTTCAAAAAATTTTATACCAAACACTCACATTAATTTTCATCACAGAATCACCCCTTTAATTTTTTCGGTGTTATTTAGATACTTTAGATAATTTAGATTTCCAATATAATCTCAAAAGTTAACTGGCGTATTGGGTTTCTGTTTTATTTTGAATATAGTGGCTCAAATCAGAGGCTCAAATCAGTGGCTCACCATTGCTCAAATCAGAGGATTTCCTTTGGCTTAAGAGCCACGCTCAAATCAGTAGCTTATTATCTATTATTGTGAACAGGGCTAAACCCGAGATTGGGTTTAGCTGTTCAGGGACAAATATAATCACTTAAATCGAAATCTAATCCACGACTGAGCTTAAATCACTAAAATAGGATTATTACATCAGATCAAAATAATTACGTAACACCTTTAAATAATGCGTAACACTACTTCTTCTTATAATATCAGTGGCCATCTTTCATTAATTAAATTAATTTATTATTTTAAGGTTAAAAATTTAACTTTTTTTAGATCTTTTCAAGCTGGAATATGAAGTTCCGGAGTGAGTCGGACAATCAGCATCTTAATGGTGAGAAGCGAAGAGGTGAATTTAGACATTTCATAATTAAATTGTGACAAATAGGCGAAAAAATAATAAACATTAAGGCATGTTTGCTGAGCGACTCGTCTAAATATAGTAAACAATTTACAGTCTATGAATAAGATCACACGCCACATTAAAACGCTCTAGAGATAAAATCCCCAGTGCTGTAAGGGATGAACAATAAGAACGTTAAAGAAATAGAATAAAGCTAATTAACTACATTTAGGATATTCTGAAAATGGAAAGACAATGCCTTATGTCTTGTTTATTTTAAGTCGAGAAAGAGACAAGGAGAATCATCACATCAATATTATTATTACACCAAAAACGAAGTATGATCGCTAAATCGTACGTACCAACAGCATCTTTAAGGGCAGATTCGGTAGCATCAACAACTACGGCTTCCTTAACTTTAACAACATAAGGGCTCTTGGCTTTGCATGTTACGTTGAAAAAGCTGCCTACGTATGGATATTCTTCATCGGTGTTAAGACCATTGTCGATGACATATTGAAAACGATGAGACATGATACTACCAGAGCAACCATAGCCGCCGGGGTCACAGTCAACCAATTGTTCTACACTAAGAGCTGCTGAGTTATTATATTTGATTGCATTTTGTCCTTCTACGGCACCAACCTATAAATAAATCAAAGTACAAATTGATAAAAATTTATAAAGTTACAAGTATACCAAGATAATTACAGATCTTGTTAAGACATGAGTTTACTTAAAATAAACGATAATTCGTTTATTATTTTTTGTAAACACTGATTTATCGGTTAATTGGCTTTTTAATTATTCGATTATTTTTTATTTTCAAATAAAGGAAATATGAAAAAAATAGATTGAAACCAATCGATTGATCGAGAATAATCGATTATTTTCAATGATAAACATCTGAACCCAAAAAAGTAAATCAATTTTATGTAAAGTTTTTTTTTTGGCATAGGCACATTGCTATTTCGCCAGACACAGATCCGTCCATAATTAGAATACCCAAGAATATTTCCTAACAGCAAGAGGTGTAAAAAGAAGAAAAACAATAAACAATATAGGACGGAGACACTCGCTTCTCGTCCAGTGTACCTGGAAAGTTAAATGTAGGATCAGCTAATTTAAATTTTTTATGTAGGAATAATTTTCAATATTAACCTTAGTAGTAGGTACAATTTCGCAAATGTTTTCCATAAAAATGGCATCAAAATTGAAATTAAACGTATTTTCAATATTGGATCATCATTAGTCATGCAAGGATAATTTTCAAGAGCCTTTCAGTAACCCTAACTCCCTTTTATCAAGATATCTACCAACAATTCTAGAGTAATCTGTGACATAATTATCACCTAAGAGTTGTATATTTTTAATTAAAGCACGTGGTTTTTCACCTTATACTGAGTTTAAGTAATTAAATTTATCCACATTTGGCATAAGCTTATTATGTATTAAAGAATTAAAGGTTTCAATAAACAAAGAAAATCATAAAAAATCTAATTTGGACAGTTTAACATTATCTCCAGGTACAACAAAAGAGCTAGTAGCCAAACTAGAATTTGCAATATTAGTGTTTTCATCTATTTCAAATAAATCATGGCAAGAAACTTTAATTTCATTTGCAATACTACAAAAACCAGTTAAAATGTCAGTTTCCGTACGTAATTCATATGATGTTTATTAAAATTATTTTTAATTTTAGTAAATTGACGAAAAACAACTTTAAACGAAGTACGTTTACTCGAATCAGTTAACGCATTTTGACTCAAAGCATGTAATTTATCTAAATGCGTAATGGCCGTAGCTATAAGCGTCGTTACACAATTCTATAGGGAGGGGCAAAATTTTGAAAAAATTTAGAATGTTTATTTATTGGTAAACAAAGAAAATAAAAAATAAAAGAGAAATGTCTTATGATGGATTTAATTTTTTTGTGACGTCATAGCTTACTTTCGGTTTTTCCAGAAATAACAGAAAATCGCCATTTATTTTTATCTTTAAATGAAAACCCCTTTTCTTATTGAAAATTTGAATTTCTGGGATATTTTTGTATAAGGAGCATGTATTGAAAATGTTATGTCAGTAACATAATAAAAAAAATATTTTCCAATAAGATGGTCATTTTGACAGCTGACAGATAATTTTCAACACATGATTGTTATCCATAAATGTCCCTAAAATTCAAATTTTTAATAAAAACGGAGGTTTCTATTTAAAAATTAAAAATAAATTGGGATTTTCTGTTATTTCCAATAAAACAGAAGTAAGCCATGAAGTCACACACCAATTGAATCCAGTATATGAGAGTATTTCTCCCAAGCTTTTAAACAAGTAAGTTTTTATTGCAATATCTCAATTAACAACGAAGACAAAAGCGGATGGAATTATTAAACGGTTTGGTAATAATAAAAATGCTTAGATTCGCCACTGGTATACGGTAAATGGGTCTCAATGGGAATTTTGAAGCCTAAAAATATTTTATAAAGTTCGTACATACCTATATGTTTTTCCATAAACGAAATAATAATAACATATTTAGAAAAAATATTATCCAATATGGCGGCCATTTCGACATCTGCCAGAAAATTGTCAATACACGATTATTATACAAAAATGTCCCAAAAATTTAAATTTACAATAAAAAGAAGGGTGTTCTTTTAAAATTAAAAAAATGATTTTCTGTTATTTCCGGAAAAAACGGAAGTAAGCCATGACGTCACAGAACAATTAAATTCATCATAAGAAAGTATTAGTTCTAGTCTTTCAAACAGAACAAAATTATTCCGACAACTCACTGAATAGCGAAAATAAGGGTGAGTGGAACTTTAGTAGTAACCCTCACAATGTCGCTGACCTATTTGACGGAACTGATACTTAAGTTGTCATAACAAGTCTCTAATAAATAAAATAACCCAACAAAAAAGGCAAAAAATAAAGAAAAAACAAGAAACTTATTACACATTTTTTAAAAACAAACAGAAGGTGTGATATAAAAGAAAAATATGAACAAGAAGACATAGCCATACATAATAATATAAAAAATAAAAATTTATAGAAACAAAAACATAAAAAACTCACTCAAACACGATGATGAACATAAAAAAATACTAGGGAAACGTAAATTTTAAATTTCTTTTTTCTTTACTAAAAACATCGATAACAGAAAACATAAATTATTTTTCAGTCATCCTATTTTCATTGATTATTCGCTTCGTGCGTGAAAGCAGCGCCAACTATTTTATGAACTAACGGACGATATTTGCGTATACTGACATTACAATTTTTAGTAGAGTTCGTAATTAAAAAATATATATGTTAATTTTAATAAAAGTATATGGAGTTGTAAAACAAGTGAAAAAATTATTAATATTATAAATTTTTTACTTCAGCTAGAAAAAAGTAGTATTATCAATAAAAATCAATAATAAAACATAGGCAGGTATTTACGAGAAAATGTATAAATAAATAAATAAATAAAAACATTACCATTATATAATAACGTAAAATTAAAACGTTTTAACAAAAATAATTAGTATGTTTGCGACTGTAATTTATATTTTCTTCATTTTTAGTTCGAAAGAACTCATAGAAATTAATGATTAAAACTGGTTTCCTATCAATAAGTCGCAAGATTGCATTTTAGCCATATACAATAATCAAAGGCAGAAATCTAATAATTTGCTAAACATTTAAGATTTAAGGGATGTTGAAGAATATCATAAAATAATATTTTATTGTTTATTTAAAATCTTTTCTGACGTCTATATTTCCAGTAATACTGTTATTACGAAAACAAAGGTTTTTTTTTTCTTCTTATACAGCTGTCCATTTATTTCTTAGCGTGGCTAAACGTTCTTTGGATTAACTCTGTCGATGGTGGAAGAGCCATAAATAATTTTTAAACCACTTTATATGTCTGGATAAAATTCACAATGTTTGGACGCTATATCATTAATGGAGAGCTCATTGTGTGCAGAAAGCTCTTTCGTACTCCAGTTTGATATTCAGCTTCAAAATTGTCGATTCAAAATTTTACCACTACTTTCATTTTCTAATCTGTATGTTTTTGGGATGTAACAGGCTTAAGGAAAAACTAACAAAGTCTTCGGAAAAGCGTGATGTAAGCGACCTAAGGGAATCCAGATATGCAATAAATATATTCAACCCATAATATTCTTTAACAATATTAGCCTGAATATTATTATTTCTATGAGATTGTTGTTCGTAATGCATATCTTACGCATTGTTGATTGGGTCGTAAAAGCCAGGGGGGGCAAGTGCCTCTCTTTGCCCCCCCAAAACGACGCCCATGGCTATAAGTACTTTATTTCGACTAATTTTCTCTTCCATCGTAGGCATCGTACACGTGAAGTAAATTCAAAAAAAAAAAAAAAAAAAAAAAGAATAAGCAAACAATTGAGTACCCCTCGTAAATAAAATCTATAAATAGATCGTAGATAATTTGAATTATTTGCAAAATTCAATATCAAACACCGACACACTTATCAGCAGCTGATTAAACTAATTATTGTAAACCAGAAACAATTTTTTTTTATTAACTAAATTTAGAAAAAAAATCTGATGTGTCCAACACATGACTTTCCTATCTAGGTATTACAGGCTTTTTCCGGTTATTTTGTTATTTTGTTTAGCACTTTTCCATTACGGTCCATTTTAGAAAAATCATGTATAAACAAAAATTATAGAGATCGATATCGCAAACAACTTTTAGTTTAACAATTTTCATAAAAATCAGAATTTTGCACATTCTGTCAAATTTCTCGAATACGGACCATTTCACGAAATTTTGACATAAAGCAAAAATTATAGATAATAATATTAGAAGTAACTTTTATTTGAACAATTTTCTTCTCCAAACATAAATAACAGATATATTCCATAAAATATAAAAACGGCCTCCCATCAAGTACCCCCCCAGATGTTCCGACTTTGTCCAAAATCTAATCATTTTACGTCAGGCCGAAATAAACCTTAAGTTTAAAATTTAATGTTTTTTTCTATATCCGTTTTTGAGTTTTCTTCAAAATTCGAAATTTACACATTTTCTCAAATATCTCGAATACGGTCCATTTTAGAGAAATTATGTATAGAATAAGAATTATAGAGAATTATATTACAAACAACTTTTATTTGAACAATTTTTATAAAAAATTATTTTTTTACATTTTGTCAAATTTCTCGAATACGGACCATTTTAGGAAAATTTTGCATAAAACAAAAATTATAGATAATTATATTAGAAGTAACTTTTATTTGAAGAATTTTCTTCTCCAAACGTAAATAACAGATATATTCCATAAAATATAAAAATGACCACCTATAAAGTACACCCCCAGATGTTCCGACTCTGCCCAAAATCTAATCAGCTCATTGGACGCTGAAACAAAGCTTAAGTTTAAAATTTGGTGTTTTTTTGTGTATCGGTTCATGAGTTATGCGTTATACAGACACACACACACACACACACACACACACACACACACACACACACACACACACACACACACACACACACACACACACACACACACACACACAGACAGACAGACATCATCGCGAAAATAGTCAAAACGGATTCAGGGGACCTCAAAACGTAAAAATCCGTCGAAAACTCGAGGTAGAAAAAAATCATGATTCCTATACTTTCCTTATATCTGTATACAGATAGGAAAGTAAAAAGTACCGGTCAACACGTTTAGCTATTAACTTAAAAAAAAAAAATCTGATGTGTCCAACACATGACTTTCCTATCTAGTTATTACAGGCTTTTTCCGTTTATTGTGTACAACCTATTGCAGCATCTCTATAAATGTTTAGAGGATAAACTAAATATATATACATTGTCCACATACATCTACCGCGAAACATTTTTTTATAGATATTCATTGAAAATGAAAATACTGAAAAATTTAAATTTAGCACTTTTCCTACAATTCTTCCATTACGGTCCATTTAAAAAAAATCATGTATGAACAAATATTATAGAGATCGATATCGCAAACAACTTTTATTTCAACAATTTTCAGAAAAATCAGAATTTTGCACATTTTGTCAAATTTCTCGAATACGGACCATTTCAGAAAATTTTTACATAAGGCAAAAATTATAGATAATAATATTAGAAGTAACTTTTATTTGAACAATTTTCTTCTCCAAACATAAATAACAGATATATTCCATAAAATATAAAAACGGCCTCCCATCAAGTACCCCCCCAGATGTTCCGACTTTGTCCAAAATCTAATCATTTTACGTCAGGCCGAAATAAACCTTAAGTTTAAAATTTAATGTTTTTTTCTATATCCGTTTTTGAGTTTTCTTCAAAATTCGAAATTTACACATTTTCTCAAATATCTCGAATACGGTCCATTTTAGAGAAATTATGTATAGAATAAGAATTATAGAGAATTATATTACAAACAACTTTTATTTGAACAATTTTTATAAAAAATTATTTTTTTACATTTTGTTAAATTTCTCGAATACGGACCATTTTAGGAAAATTTTGCATAAAACAAAAATTATAGATAATTATATTAGAAGTAACTTTTATTTGAAGAATTTTCTTCTCCAAACGTAAATAACAGATATATTCCATAAAATATAAAAATGACCACCTATAAAGTACACCCCCAGATGTTCCGACTCTGCCCAAAATCTAATCAGCTCATTGGACGCTGAAACAAAGCTTAAGTTTAAAATTTGGTGTTTTTTTGTGTATCGGTTCATGAGTTATGCGTTATACAGACACACACACACACACACACACAGACAGACAGACATCATCGCGAAAATAGTCAAAACGGATTCAGGGGACCTCAAAACGTAAAAATCCGTCGAAAACTCGAGGTAGAAAAAAATCATGATTCCTATACTTTCCTTATATCTGTATACAGATAGGAAAGTAAAAAGTACCGGTCAACACGTTTAGCTATTAACGTGAGAAAAAAAATCTGATGTGTCCAACACATGACTTTCCTATCTAGTTATTACAGGCTTTTTCCGTTTATTGTGTACAACCTATTGCAGCATCTCTATAAATGTTTAGAGGATAAACTAAATATATATACATTGTCCACATACATCTACCGCGAAACATTTTTCTATAGATATTCATTGAAAATGAAAATACTGAAAAATTTAAATTTAGCACTTTTCCTACAATTCTTCCATTACGGTCCATTTAAAAAAAATCATGTATGAACAAATATTATAGAGATCGATATCGCAAACAACTTTTATTTCAACAATTTTCAGAAAAATCAGAATTTTGCACATTTTGTCAAATTTCTCGAATACGGACCATTTCAGGAAATTTTTACATAAGGCAAAAATTATAAATAATAATATTAGAAGTAACTTTTATTTGAACAATTTTCTTCTCCAAACATAAATAACAGATATATTTCATAAAATATATAAACGGCCTCCCATAAAGTACCCCCCCAGATGTTCCGACTTTGTCCAAAATCTAATCATTTCACGTCAGGCCGAAATAAAACTTAAGTTTAAAATTTATTAATTTTTTCTTTATCCGTTTTTGAGTTTTCTTCAAATTTCGAAATTTACACATTTTCTCAAATATCTCGAATACGGTCCATTTTAGAGAAATTATCTAGGGGACAAAAGTTATAGAGAATTATATTACAAACAACTTTTGTTTGAACAATTTTTATAAAAAAAAATATTTTTTTACATTTTGTCAAATTTCTCGAATACGGACCATTTTAGGAAAATTTTGTAAATAACAAAAATTATAGATAATAAAATAAGAAGTAACTTTTATTTAAAAAATTTTCTTCCCCAAACGTAAATAACAGATATATTCCATAAAATATAAAAATGACTACCTATAAAGTACCCCCCCAGATGTTCCGACTCTGCCCAAAATCTAATCAGCTCATTAGACGCTGGAATAAAGCTTAAGTTTAAAATTTGGTGTTTTTCCGTGTATCGGTTCATGAGTTATGCGTTATACAGACACACACACACACACACACACACACACACACAGACACACACACACACAGACATCATCGCGAAAATAGTCAAAACGGATTCAGGGGACCTCAAAACGTAAAAATCCGTCGAAAACTCGAGGTCGAAATAAATCATGATTCCTATACTTTCCTTATATCTGTATACAGATAGGAAAGTAAAAATCCAACAATGTATGTGTATGTAAATTATATAAATTATATAAGGGTAGCAAATTTACACGTTATTTCGTGAAATAAAATATGTCTCAATTTATTTGTATATAAACTTATGGAAGTAGCAATAGTATAAACCGAACAATAAATCCTATAATAATTAGTATTACGAAATGAACAGTAAACACTTTTGTGAAGTATAGTTTGTATCCAAATAGGGTTATGAAAAGTAAACAACTAATTAAACTAATACCTTGATCGGCATCTAGGATCGAAGAACCAAAAATAATGGTGCCTTGATAAATTTAAAGTGGACTGACTGATTTAATGGTGGAGAAGCTAATCAGCGTGGCGCTTAATTAGTTGTTAAAAAATTTAATATAAATGTATCGTATCGATTAAATTATTTATTTGATATTTGACTTACCAAGGTATAGTCTGGGATCACTTTTCGAAGGGATTTCTGCTCTCGTAAAACAAACAGTGTACACAATGTTTGATGCGAAAGTAGTAAGTACCCGTTCTCGTCCTTTAGGTGTTCGTTCGCATACTTGTCTGTCCTTTTTTGGGTAAAAAGGACAAAAAATGTAAAGTAAAGCCATAGGAGGGACATAAGGTTGAGGAATAGGTCCATCAAATGTATAATATTTAAAAAAGGAAAATTTTACGCGAATAACCTATTTGGATACACTATAAATACCTCTAAAATACTCTTTGAGATTAAAATGAATTAAAGGAGAAATTTAAATATTAAACAGGATCGTGACGATTAATTTTTTTATATCACATGAATACTTACATAATTTAATGCAAATTTACTCTATAATATTGGAATCAGAATCAGAATAAAGGTATAAGTAAAAGTATTGTTCGATTCTTTCTAGAAATTATATCATAGTAAAAGAGAGAATATTTCACCTACAGAACCTTATGAGTGTATGACGTGCTTATTAGCACCTCAAGTAAGCAACTATGAAGCTTCTATGGTCACGTTTTTATCAGAAGAGCCAATACCATCTCATAAAATCAAGCTACTAGCATTATAAATTCATATTCGTAAAGTGAATAACTAGATTCAGAATAAAAAAACCTCATTCGCTCTCATACTCTTGCAGAACTAGTAGATATACTTACTACACTAAAAGCCCAGCAGGATCCGCATACTCCTTGGTTCTGGATTCTAGTAACGGCATTCTTCTCTCTCCAGTCGATAGAGTCTGGAGCAGTACCACTTTGGACATGACGAGTCAAGTTCTGCTTGGGACTTGGGCCGTTTCGAACTCTGAGCAGTGCTCCAAATTCCTTCTGTGTCAAATCGGCGAATTGGTTGACGCCCATTCTGTAAGTTTTAATTCCGGCTTCATAGAGAGCATTGTGTGCATTAATTTTTTGTATGTTTTGTTGAAAAATTTGGAAGCGGACTTTTTCTTCACCGATATTTTCATATGATTTTCCATGTTTGGCCTTAAATGAAAAATTATTCGTTTAGACAAATATTGCACCAGGAATCATATAAGTATATGTCTGATCTAACCACACCATGAATAATTTAACGGTACATATGTGTATTCTTTTTGCTTCCATCACAGCCACCTTAGTTAAATACGCTTTTATTATAAAAAATATATACCAGGTGTTCTAAATTAAAGCATTACAGCTATATACCGCTTTTTATAAAAAAAAAACGTTTCAGACGAAAGTTTTATAGTTTTGTAGGAAAAAACTTTTGGCTGAAATCGTTTTTTATAGCTAACCATAATATGGCCAACTTTTTTTTCGCGCAGCAACATTTTCAAGTAGCTGTTACTCAAAAAGTAAAAGTCCAATAAAAAAATATTTACTCAAAAGTTTCTTATTTTTTTATGTACTTTAAGAATATGTAAGAAAAAAATGGGATTCCCATTTAAAAAAGCAAAGTTCACTTTGATATGGCCATATTATGGTCAGCTATAAAAAAATGAATTTAGCCAAAATGTTTCCCCCAAAAAACTATAAAACTTTTGTCTGAAACTTTTTTTTCTAAAATGCATATTTTCTGCGATATTTAACTGTAACACTTTAATTTGAACACCCGGTATATGACATAAAAATTTATTTAAATTATTAGTGTAGTTTATCAAGGAAAACGAAAACAATGGACTTTAAATACAATTTTCATCTGTACATGAATGACTTACTGATGCTTTAAAAACTAATATACGCAAGTGTCACGATTATAAAAAATTAAAAACAGGTAAAAACAACAATAACAACATTAAGACAATGACTTAAAATTAATCCCACGTATTACATTTTAATACGTTTTAAGTCTACAAGTATTAAAAAAAAAAATGCCGAGCACCAACAAGGGCAAGGTAGTTATAAGAAATACCATGTGTCTAAGAAATGTGAAAAATTATAATTACAATAAACCTAAACACTGATTTTTTTAATGAATATATATTGTACACAAGTTAAAAAAGATTTGAAGCTCATGGTAGTTCCAAAGTAGTTACTTGCACTTTTTCGTAATATCATTCTGTTATCTGTAAAGTATAGTTTTGGATACCGGTAACATTGACACCATCATCCTCACTGTTAGGTTGGTGTTTGTTATAATGAGAAGTAACTATAATATTAAAAAAGTTATTTCAATCCCAGCTTCGATCTTTGTTCTTCCTGCTTTGGAGAGTCATCCTTGATTTCCACTTTCATACTAAGAACATTATTTTACGAGTAAATAAATCCATTCGTCCCTGTACAGTAATAGTCGCAGCAATGAAGCAAAAAGTTCCTGGGTTTTTCCGTGCAAGTCGAATCGGAATGCGGTTTTTTGCATTCGCTTGCAAAAATTATTTGTGTTATTCCCCCGTAATTTCCGGGTCATACAAACCGAAAATTGCAATGCTGCAGCCAAAAGTGCATTCAAAAAATGCATTATTTGAGAGGCCTCTTGTATGATTTCAAAACTTGTTAAATAAGTGTCAGAACTAGCCCAGATCGGGTGCTCGGGAGTATTCGAGGTCGCTGATCACGATTATGTTGTCTAAATTGACCCACAGCCGACCTGGAGCTCAGGAACGTCGACGAACGTCATCTTCGTGGGACTCTCTCAAAATTCACTCAGGGAAGGAGGGCAACTAGGCGATCGGGGTTTTTATGGGTCGCTGAATCCAAATATGGCATCGGCGAATATCCCCAGACACCTGGTGCGCCCAAACCTTGACCTGGACGTCATCTCCGAGAATTTTCCTCACAATATCGACAAGAACAACCCGAAAATGATTGAGCGGAGTTTTTTGGGGCGCTGAATCTAAATTTCACATCGAACACCTGGTGCCCCGGAACTTGGCCCTGAACGTCATCCCCGAGGGGTTTCCAGACCCAATTGAAAAAGACGAATCAAAAATCGTTAAAGGGGGGGTTTTGGGTCGCTGAATTCAAATATGGCATCGGCAAAGACCGCATGGACAACTGGTTCGTCTGAACGTAGACCTGGACGTCATCTCCGAAGCGTGAATACTGCAATAGCTGTGTGCAATTGTTGATTCTAGATTACGTGAGGAGCAAAGAAAGAGAATGAATAGAAACGCAATATTTATGTAATTTACGGTAAAACAATTTTTATTGGCCTCAAATCGAATACAATGAACCTGTAAGTTTGTCATTTCTTAATTAATTAATAACTCAAATGTGTCTGATCATTTTCTTCGTCATCGACTGATTTATTTATACGGGAAACATCTCCCTCATCTGAGGCCTCTGTCTCTGGCACATTATTTTCATCTGAATATCTTTCAGTGTTAAGGCAAGATGAACCTTCCCAAATTTTACAGGCAAGATTGCAAGGTAGGCCGTGCTTCCTGCAACTACAGGTGTTCAGATTACAATCTCCTTTGCATCCACAGAATATTAGTTCCATAATATTCTTGGACGCAGGTATTTCTTCCATCTGTACAGGCACTAGTGTGTCGCCTTTCTTTCTCCACCCCCATTTTGTTGGGTTCATAGTTAGCTGGTCTCCGTGCAGCCATTGTTGTACTTGAAAATAGACCCTCTTTAGATGTTGTTGAATAGCGTCTACTGTAGGGAGAATTTTGGCCAAATTTACTCTTCCCGTCACAGCGGTTCTCCTGTACATTTCGCACTTATACGTTTGAAGTAACTGGTCCCATTTTGGCTAGTCAGGAATATTTAGTTTCCTGAATGACATTGGAGCACTGTACATTGCCAGGATTAGCTGCGCCCCGTTCTCAAAAACTTATTCGCTGGACAAACCAGAATGGATGAACTTTTTCTAGGGCCCCAGGAGAGATTAACACATAAATGAATGTATAAAATTAATTTTTGGGAAGTTTTTTTTGTGATCGCGACTGTAAAACCCTCGGAGATTCTAATTCAGCGCCCCTTCTCGATTTTCGGTTCGTTTTTTTCGATTGTGTCAGGAAAATTCTCGGAAATGACCTCCAGGTCCAGATTCGGACGCACCTGGCGTCCGTGGGGTGTTCGCCGTATTTGGGCCAAGTTCCAGTGCACCAGGTGTCCATAGGGTCGTTTTCGATGTGCAATTTAGACTAGGCGCCCCAAAAAACTCCTCTCAATCAATTTCAGGTTGTTCTTGTCGATATTGTGAGGAAAATTCTCGGAGATGACGTTCATGTCGAGGTTTGGGCGCACCAGGTGTCCGGGGGCTATTCGCCGATGCCACATTTGGATTCAGCGACCCAAAAAAACCCCGATCGCCTAGTTGCCCTCTTTCCCTGAGTAAATTTTGGGAAAGTCCCACGAAAATGACGTTCGTCGACGTTTCTGAGCTCCAGGTCGGTTGTGGGTCAATTTAGGCATCATAATCGTGATCAGCGACCTCGAAAACACCCGAGCACCCGATCTGGGCTAGTTCTGACACTTATTTAACAAGTTTTAAAATCATCCTTTCAAATAATGCATTTTTTGAATGCATTTTTGGCTGCAGCAATGCAATTTCCGGTTTGTATGACATGGAAATTACGGGGGAATGATACAAATAATTTTTGCAAGTGAATGCAAAAAACCGCATTTCGATCCGACTTGCACGGAAAAACCCAGGAACGTTGGCCTTTTTAGTGCTTCATTGCCTCGACTATAACATCTTTTTCCATTTTGGGTCCCTGATTATGAGATTTTTGTAGCCCTCACTTCCATGCCTTAATATTTAATTTGCCATAATTTCTCTACAGATGTTTGATTCAAACTAGTACCTACTCCACAAACTATTATTCCATAAAGATCAGTTGCTAATGGTCTTGAAAACTGCTAATCAACACACCTGAATGGCGTTGAAGAGTGTTAGCTTATACTAATGGCGGCTCGGAGGTAGTGCCACTGTGCCATGGCACTACCTTATTTTTGATGCAAAATTATATTTTTTATTTTTAAAACGTCTTGTCATATTTTTATTTTATTTTATGCATTTCTATTTATATTCAAAAATTATTTGAAATGTGGCAACCCATGCTGCATAAAGCTTCAAGCTGTCGCCGCAACCAGAGCCATTTCTTTGCAGGCACTAGGCAAGCGAGAGAGATTTTACCAGCAGCCTATGTGAGCAACAGAGATGGGGACATTTTACATGTATTTAGATGGTAAAATCAAGGAATGTTTGTGCCAGGCACAGCACAGTGCCCACAGCGGTTTAAATAATAGAGGTTTCTCGACAATGTCGATTATTGACTGAATTAACCAAGTTTTCTTACGCGCTTTTAAGTTTTCCGTTACGTTACGAAGTGTTAGTGACGTTAATATGTGTCTCTTTGTTTTCGATAAACTTGTTTAAATATCTTATTTCCTAGTTTTTATTTTATTGTGACAATGAATAAAATTGGCGTCTTAAAAAACTCTTTTAGTGGTTTTTCACTAGAAGAAAAACTACAAATTAAAGAATCAGTTATAGTTTTCAGATATTTGTGTAAAGGACGACCAGTTCAGAGATTTTGGCGGTTTTACATGCTCGATGGACACGACGCCAAATTAATCGCTGAATGCATTTTAAATGTTTTATATCCATTATTAAAACATAGTCCATAGAGTGGTGGATTAAATGGTGTGCAAAGAATTATTAAACAAACATATCTGTTTCACCTCAGCTTTATTGGGCTTGACATTTACTGCCTTCGATCATAGTGGACTGTATGAATATTCGAAATAAATTACCTGGAGTGAAGGCCTTATGGTCTACCCTGTAGCCTCTGGAAGATACTCTTAAAGTTCTGGTTGAAGCACTGGGTTTATTCAAATAAAACTATCACCCTATATTTGAATTTAATATATTCACGGCTTGCTGATTTCACATTTTACACATTTACTACTTGGTTACATAAATTTATTGATCGAATTACATGTTAACTTTTTTAAATCAAATCGCACAAATGCTTTAAATTAATTTACGGCTTGCTGCCGGCGTTGTAAAAGTTTGTGGTGTTGTTGGTTTGACTGACTAAGCGAAAGTGAATGTTTCGTTTCTCGATGCATGCTTGCCAGGTCGCATCGGTTTTACCGGCTTTCTTCTAATTGGTTATCTAGTATCTTAAGATTGCGCGCGAGAGTCATGATTGGGTGAAAAAATCTCGTGTGACGTTGTTTTGATTGTTTGCGACGTTCGCAGGTGTCTGAAGGTTATTTGAAAGTTAACCGGTTTTTTCTTTCACGACTTTAGATAACTAGTTTATACAGGGAGTGTCTATCTAGTATTTTATTCTTTTTATAAAGTGCGGAGGTTTATACAGGGAGTGTCTATCTAGTATTTTATTCTTTTTTGTATTTGAATGCTGATTTAGATTAGCGGATAGGACATGTTGAATGTAATTTCAACAATATCCTTTTGCAAATAACGTTTATTGCTATGCAATGCTATGCTGTCAATAAGCAGGCTAGAATATTTTTTTTTAATTTATCTGGTTTGTCCTCTTTATTTTCTATGTCTCCTCAAATAACAAAAATTTTAGATGAGGTAGTTAATAGCAGGTTGCCAAGATCTTCCCAAACACGTTGGAATTTTCAATCGCGAGGTGTTTATACTGTTTATGAGAATTGAAAAGACCTCATTACAATTCTGTACATTATAGAAAGTACTTCAAGCGATTCATCGTCTATTAATCAAGCAAGTGGGTTCAAATTAAAACTTTAGGATAAAAAATTTATATTTTTGTTAAGTATTTTTCATTAAATAATGCCTCACGTGGAAATTATTTTTAACCAATTACAAAAAGTATGCACAGATTCTGTTAAGGTCAAAAAAGATTTGGATAATTTTAAAGCAGCAATTCAAGGTATACGGGAGCAAATGGACAGCATTATTGACAATATTCAAAGAGAAATAAACACGTCGCAAGGAGAAACTGGTGAACCAATAAGAAAAGCGGCATGAATTGAAGAGAACAGCATAAAACGCGAAGCCTTAGAAATATGCGATGCCGTTTTATTGCAAATAAAAAGAAGGTTTAACTTCTCTGGGCATTTGGTCGCTTCTAATTTATTTATGTCGGAGAAGCTTTCTGCCAATAGGCATTAGTTTCCTCAATCATTCCTCAATGAAACGTGTTTACAATTTACAATTTTTATTTTTAGACAAAAATATGCTTAAAAATGAATTACAAGTACTGTATCAGACAGACGAATTAAGTACCACCTTCGGAGCTGTCCGTTCTCAATTTTATTAAACAAGGAAGGTTTAAATTGTACATTTCAGGAAACTCTTAAACTTTTAGGCATTTTGATAACAATACCTTCATCAACATCTAAAGCAGAGCGCTGTTTTTCAATGCTTAAACGGATTAAAACATTCCTTAGAAATAAAGTGAAGCAAGAAAAACTTAGTGCTTTAGGTATGTTGTCCGCAGAAAAACATTTTGTAAATTAGATTGAAAATTTTAATAATAAAGTAATTGAAAACTTTGCAACCAAAAAAGAAAGAAGAATGGACTTCATTTATCGAACACTTTAAAACTAATATATCAAGCAATTTTGTGCGCGTGTGTAGATACTGTAAATAGGTATAGTTTTATTTTTGTGATTTTTTTGGTATATGGACCTAAATACTTTTTATGGTAATAACAAACTGCATGACTTTCAGCATTAATTACTGTGGATAAGTTAATTTATAATGTTTAATTAATTTTAGAGAGTTCTTTGATAAGTTTTAAGTAATTTATTGGTAAAGATTAGGATAAGACTAACCCTGATGGCCTGTTTCTTGGCAAAACTTGTGTTAGAAACCCCATAAATAGTAGTCATAATAGATATACCTAAAAGTATCCGTCCTTCATTTATTTTTTTAATTAAAATTTTATATCTATTTTGACAATACCGTGATAATTTTTTGCCCAACGCCAGTTTTTTAAATGACTTTTGGGTAAAAATTTGGGCGTTGCAGCCCAAAAAAAATGTTCACCTCCGACAAGTGGGGGGCATACGACAGGGCGCCTCTGGCGGAGTTTTCACATTTGTTAAAAATCTAGCACTACCATCTCGTATTATCACGAGCCGTCACTGGCTTATAGGTTTCTTTATCCAAACCTTTCTTCAAACCTACTTTAAACTGTATAATTTATATTCATTTGAAATGTTTTTATGTTGAAAATTATTTTAGTAAAAACTGCGGCATATTGTCAATGCCGATTTTTAATTTTCAAGCCATTTTGGTACTTTTTAAAATGCATTAAATAATTGAAAGTTTCAAAAAAATTTTAACATTTTTGGCTATTATTTCTTGATTTTCTTAGTTTCAAAATTTTTAAATATATTTTTTTTTTAAATCTTGATAGTTTTCAATTTTTTTATATAACAATGCAACTTTTTGAAATTCCACAAAAAAATTATTTTCGTATAAAATTTTGTTTGATAATTCAATTGTTGAAATGATTTATAATAAGAATTATTTTTTTTTTAAATTCTCATAAATTTTCGGCAGTTTTCGAAAGTACGAAGGTATCTATAATATGAAAAATTACCTTAAAAGTGGTCCACTGTTCATAAGCTGGAAGGGCACTGACTGCCAAAAGCGCTGTTGCGAAAACAATGAAAACCCTCATTTTTTTCTATAAAAAAAAATATATATAAAACGATTGTTGTCTAAATTTTCAATAATTAAAAAAAGTATTCTTTCGAAAATAATTAGTCCAATTCAAAAATTTTAACATGATTTTTTTGTTCTATTTAATTTAGGAAACTAGACATATTAAAATCTAATTCAAAAACTGGCCAATTTCAAAATGAAAATAAATAATGAAATATTAATTATGTTGAGGCATAAAAATTGTCCAATTCATTAATAAATAATAAATGATTTAGTATATATTATACTGTAATTTTACAGGCAGTCTTACCGTAGTAGAACAACAAAATTAACTGAGGTTTGAAATATTTCTGTTTCTGTTAAATACTTTATAAAAAATCCACTCAAAAAACAAATTATAATAAAATATATTGAATTTTATCTCATAAAATATCTAATCAAATTTACGGGGATTTTTCATCTTCAAGTGTATTTTATTTATAATCATCAATTTTTTTAACTCATGTTCAATGGATACATCAAGTATTCAATTTTCAATTAGGAATATAGGAACATCGTTTGTTTTTCGTAAAATTAAGATTCGATCTGGCTCATGTAAGAAGTGAAAAGGATTTTTTTATTTTTTGTTAAAAGTGAAGTCCTGATGACACACTTTTTTAAATATTTTCTGAACGTTTCAAAATAACTAAGTAAAATTTGGTACAATTGCTTATTCTTATGCTTATGCTTATGCTCTATTTAATGGACTAAACTACAGTTTTTGATCATCTTCATAGGGGGGTAAATTAGGAGAGACTTAGGGTAAAAAATTTTTTGTTGACAGTTTTTAACAATTTTGACTATAAAATTTTAAAAAGCCAATGTTTTATTTATAATAAAGCCACTTTTGTTGCACCTCGCTAGGACGCACCATTTTTAAGAGAAAAGCATTTAAAAATTTCATGATAAGTTGATGTTATCTTATTCGAAAGTGTAAACAATAATTAGTAGGCCTATGGAATCAGAAATTTATTTTACAAAAAATGTGCCTCAGGACTTCACTTGTAACACCCTGTATCTCGAAAATGAAACGTTTTCGGACCTGTTTATATGAACTTTTACTTCTATTTTAGGATGTAGATTACGCTGTCTAATTTCGGGACACCCTGTAGAAATAGATCAACTAATATTCTAATAAAAATGGGTATATACAGGGTGTTTCAGATTTAAACGGACACAGCTTAATGGAAGGTGTAGTACACTTAGCTGAGTTCAAAACACCTCCATACTTAGCCCTTAATCTCACTCGTTTCTAAGTGCTTTATGAGTTTTTGCCAAAACTAAAGTCGGTCATTTTGTTTGAACGGCTAGAGATATTTTGATAAAATTTTGTACAAAAGTTACACTTTCTTAGGTTAATCAAACCCATAATTTAATTTAAAAAAATTCCAGGACCGGACTTACTTTTTTTATATTGCTCTTCTTAGCTAAAATATCACCCTGTATATCGGATTTTAATAAATGTTACGACCCATTTAAATAGTACGTTGATCAATAAATAAAATAGTGGAATAATATTTAATGGCACCATTTTGATTTTCTTACAGTAAATTTTTATAATGGCGACTACAATAACATAAATCACTATTTATAAAATTGAAATCAAATATTTTACTCTGTATTTTGAAAACTCTACAAAAACTAGGTACCACTAGGCTCACTTTATTTGATAAAGTAACATAACAAACTAAAAGAAACAAATAATTAATTAAAACTAAAGTAGCTTTTTAAAATGAATACCGTGAACGTCAATACACCTCTGCAAACGTTTAAACAGACTTTTCACTGATTTGTCAATTATTCCCGGTTTATTTCTAATGTTGTTACATACATTATTATTTTTTTTTCAATAACTGTGCTTGGGTATTCATTGCTTCGTTGTACACCTCTGATTTAAGGTAGCCCCATAAAAAATAATTAAGAGGTATCAGATCTGGAGATCTTGGTGGCCAATTGACGAGACCTCCTCGACCTATTCATCTATTTGCGAAATGATGATTTAAATGGTCTCTGACCAGTATTTAAAAATGAGGTCCAGCATCATCGTCTTGAAACCACATTCCTCTGCTATTTATCCCTTCTAACAAATTTGGCAGGATGTCTCTAATGAGATTTAAATAAACTTCAGCTGTACTATTAAAAATAATAAAGGCCATAGTTTTGGGATATTTCATAAGCCATCACATACTGATATTACAATATATAATAGTTCATCTCATCCATACAAACAAAAGCTGGCAGCATACAACAGTGTGATCCATAGATTAGTTAATATTCCCCTTACCAAAGAGAACTTCACAAAAGAATTAAATAACATTAAACAAATCGCAGTAAATAATAATTTTAATTCAAAGTTAGTAGACAACATTTTAGAGAAAAAACTTTTTAAACAGGCTATTTAACAAGTTTATCCCATAATTAAAGATCAAAATTGCAGATATAAGAGTCTTACATATATAGGAGCTCCTTGTGAAAAGGTATCATCATATTTAAAAAACCAAAATATTAACGTAGCTTTTAAAACCAATAATACGCTTGGGAAGTATATTAAAAACAATAAGGGTAAAATTAATCCTAATAATAAATCTGGGGTATATAAATTAAATTGTGGTAGTTGTCCAAAATTGTATATTGGTCAAACAGGCCGTACTTTCAAAAAACGCTATTCCGAACATTATAATAGCTATACAAAAAACAAAAATAATTCTACTTACTCAAACCATATTTTAGCGGAAAATCATTCTTTTACAGACAACTTTGAAATTTTACATATAGAAAATAAGAGCCTTAAATTAAACCATTTAGAAACACTTGAAATAAATAGATTTAAAAATTCAGATAACTTACTAAATGATCAATTAGATATTAATAATTCACCCTTATTAAATATCTGTCCTAGTTTTCTGTGAGATAATCCCGGTAATGTGCTATCTTATTGTTATCTGATTGATATTATAATTACCTAAGTACCCTTATTTACTTTAAATAGTTAGTTTATTTTGTAATGTTATTGATGTTTTTCTTAAGTACTTTGTTTTGTTAAATTATTTCGTATATATATTGGATACCGAATTGTAAATTAGTCACATTTGAAAAAGAAGTTGTACTTCGGAACATATGTCATGTTAGTGTTTTTAAAAAAAAAATTTATATTTTTAAAATAAAAGTGTGAAAATCTACCAAATTTGGTTTTACTCTTTCAAGATTAAATGGATTTTCATCAAGTAAAGGCCGAAACAATAAATAATTTTGAAGTTTTTTTATTGAAAATATAGGTTTTGAAACTGTACACCTTCAAATGGATTCACAAATTATTTTTGTTTAGTTCAAGTAAATCATTTAGAAACTGACATCTTCTTTATAGAGTAAATAAAAGACAAGTAAAAACAAATAATGATAATTTATTTATAATAGTACCTAATAATAGTAAATGTATATGTTTTATAATAAAATTAATAATCACATAATGTAATCAAAACATAGTTATTGGTTGTAGCTAGATGTACTACACACATTGCCAAAATTCTTGGTCCCCCTCGTAAATAGTAAAACAAAATATTTATCATGGCTGCTTTTTTGTACATTTATTCTTTATTTATTTCACCGTTGATGCGCATCTAAAAAAGTTTACAAAAACAATTTCCCACAATTTTAGGTACCAATGTTTAAAAAGTGATTCATAACGATTTTGTATGTTTAAGTGATTGTTGAGTTTATCTTTGCAACTATGCCTGGCAATAGAATTTTAGTGTTCAATAGAGTAAGAATAGTGGCTTTGCATGATGAGGATCTGCCGAATCATCGGATCGCAGATAGACTAGGGATTCCCCGCTCTTCAGATATCCGAATAATGCGTTTGTACCAGGAAAATAACAACGTTGACTGGAGACGTGGGACTGGGCATCCTAGGGTAACTAATCCAAGAGAAGATCGATACGTAGCAGGTTATGTATGTCGGAATCGATCCGTAACAGTCTCAGCTGTCCGAACTAATTTTAGAAGAACGTATGGTCGATTCATTTCCAGTACCTCAATACGGCGGAGACTTGATAGAGCCAATTTTTGACCTAGGAAACCATCAAGTGTACCCAGGTTACTTTCCAGATATATAGCTGCTCGTCTGCAGTGGGCACAGGAACACAGAGACTGGCTTTTAGCTCAGAGGCGAAATGTTCTTTTTTTGGACGAAACCAGATATGGTTTAATTAGTGATAGTCGGCGACACAGAGTTTGGAAAGAAGAATGAAACAACATCCCAATGAATTACATTAACACCCTTATTGTTTTCATGCACAGCGAGTTAATACCCTACTACATAACAGGGAAGGACACACCGAATATAAATGAATTTTTGATTTCGCTCTAAAGTGGTTTTCTTCTGGATTTCAAATTCTAGTAATCATTTTAATATGCACTATTTTTCATTTGTATTTTTTCTTGTTCAGTTAAAATTTAATTTAGCCAATTTGTATTATATACATAACCAAATTAAATGTACTATGTAACACACTTCTTGACTTTTAGTAATAGTGTCTCATTTGACAAGCATAAGGAGGTCCAAGAATTTTGGCGATGTGATGTGTGTAGAAGTAAGCTATTTATGAAACAAAACAAAAAACGAAATAAATATTAATGCCCCAGGTTTGAATCAAACTGTTGGCAGGGATTATTTTAAATTAATTTAATTATTAAAAATTAATTCTGATGCCTTGGTAGGATTCCCCACTCGACCATTCACTGTTGGCTTTCAATTAGCAGTGCTGTTTTAAGGTGGCGATGGGAAACAGTAACAAAACCTACACAGAACACGAGGATTATAACCTTAGTAGTTGATGCCGATTACACCAAATTAAACAAAAAATATTAATGCTATCAAATTCCCATCAAATTTATTTATTCATTTATTTAGTACACCACTTAACAGTTAAAAACCAATTACCTATAGAACGGAATGAATACAGAAAAAATCCACATTCTCAGGAAAAAAAAAACAATTACCTATAGAATGGAACGAATAAAGAAAAAATCCACATTCTCAGGAAAAAAATCTGATGTGTCCAACACATGACTTTCCTATCTAGTTATTATAGGCTTTTTTCGGTTATTTTGTACAACCTATTGTAGCATCTCTATAAATGTTTAGAGGATAAACTAAATATATACATTTTCCACATACATCTAACTTGAAACATTTTTCTATAGATATTCATTGAAAACAAAAATACTGTAAAATTTAAATTTAGCACTTTTCCTCCAATTTTTCCATTACGGTCCACTTTAGAAAAATCATGTTAACAAAAAAATTATAGAAATCGATATCGCAAACAACTTTTAG